GGGGGCTCCGCGCTGCTCGGCCCTGAGCGGAAAGCGGCGCTGCCCGCCGCGCTCAGGGCTGGCCCGTAGCGTGGCATCTCGTCTCGGCGTTGGGAAATGTACGGGCAGGTGGTTTATAAAATTGTGAATTTCACTTCAGGCTCTTGTTAAGGAGCTCCCTGCGGGTTAGGAAGGCGACGTGCCAGCAGGGTCCCGAGCCTGCTAAAGCCTGGAGGAGTGACAGGTACCCTGTGCATAAAGAAGCTTCAGTAGCCAGCAAGCTGTCCACTAGCAAGTCAAGTGTTTAACTAGCAATCTTTAATGGGGTTTCAGTAGGAGTCATAATTTGGAAGCACAGGCAGCTGCTTAAGATATGTGGGGAAAATCTTTGCTCCTCAAGAGCTGGGTGTGTGGGGCCTTGCACAACCCCTCCGTGCTGCCCGCAGCAGCAGCGCTTCTTACGCAGGCTCAGCAGCCTGGCAGAGTTGTCAGTGCCAAATGCGAGCTCTGCAGAAAAGCCAGGCTCTCCCATTGCTTCAGAGCCTGGGAGAAGCTCAACCCCGGGGTAATCCGCAGCCAAATGTTCAGAGAATGCAGCAGAACACTTTTTTTTTTTTCCTCCTCCCCCCTTTGCATCTCACATATAAGTAACAAGCAGTGTATTGTACAATATGGATTAAAAGATATTTCCAGTTAGCAGCAAGTGTAATGGAGTACTTTGACATCAATGGTTTTGTAATGTTTTACAGAATATAAGATCGTAAGAGGGTTTTGTTTGTTTTTCCCTTTCTAAACACCCCTTGAATTTCCTGTAATCAGAAGTCTACAAAATAGTTCTAAAACTTAATTGTGATTTGCTTCAGACAAACCAGAAGAATTACAGAGGATGAGCTGGACTAATACCACAAGTATTTTCTTTCATAGAGGGAAGCATGGCAGCTCCTCAGGAGAAAAGATCTTCTGAAGAAAGAAAACACAAAAGTGTCCCAAATGGTGCTCAAAAATCTCAAGGACAGTGGGGAAGAGCATGGTGAGAGAAGCTGATAACCCTCATAGGTCCCTGTATTTCAATTTGGTTCACACCTTCTCTTATGGTTTCCACTTTCCTTTTAAACCTGGCTTTATTAATAAAAGGTGGTTGCACTGAACTTTCATAAAATGAGTTGTAGTAAGGTTGTGAACAGTGATATAAAACATTGCTTTGCTTTGCTTTGCCTTGCCTTCCATGCTCTAGTGGGACAATTCCATCATTCTGTGGAGTGACATAATGTTTGACCTTGTAATTCTACAGCTGGAAGGAAAATTCATGCTAAAGTCTTACATTTTTGCCAGCTTATTTTTATTGAATATTTTTGTCTTTAAAGGGATGTTTAGAAGCAAAGCAAACAAGATAGCTTTGTTCAGGTATCTCAGACCATCTGCCAGTGCCCACTTACATAAAACAACTAAATAGCTTTTTTTTTCTTTGCTAGAAGGCTGGGGTTAAAACACACTTCTGCTTGCAAAAAGTAAACTCATCATAAAAATCAGCAGCACTTGCTCTTCAAAAGTGTAACAAAATATTTGCTCACTTATAAAGCAGATATCCATCTATGGTGTTGCCAGCTAACATATCTTGCTACAGCAAGGTTTATGACCCACGTCCTTGTCCTCGAAGTATTGTGCAAATATTAGAGTATTATGTTGCAACTAGAAACTGAGAGGTATGTTTTTATATGCCTTGCCACTATAGGCAGTATGTGGTAGAACAAGTTCAATTTCTGGCTGTCTAGAATCTGCCTTTTTATGAGTCTAAGCTTTGCTTAATATGTTTGTCACCATCTCTACAGAATCCTCTACAAATTATACCCCCAATTACTGTCTTCATGTATTTGCTGGCAGTAATAGTCTGGTTTTGGGGGAGGCAGGGTGGGAGGAGAGAGGTGCCTATTCTGCTGCACTGATTTACTAGCACAGGTTTGTAACAGTTTGTAGCAAACCAAGAAAATATTTTCAGTTTTCACCTGGTTAGTCTAGAAGGTCCACTGAAAAAAATCTGTCCTTCTTAATCAGACCCCACAGATCCCTGTTCCAACTGAAAATTGAAAAATGTGTGTTCTGTTTTGGATTACAGGGAAGTAGACTGGTTTTCTTTGGCAAGCATCATTTTCCTGCTCCTGTTTGCACCGCTCATTGTGTATTACTTCATAATGTCCTGTGACCAGTACCAGTGCTCCCTGGTCAGTCCTCTCGTTGACTTGCTCCTGGGAAACACGCGTCTGTCTGACATCTGGGACAAAACTCCTCCGCTGACCTACAAGGCTGCTGGCATCTATGTCCTTTGGGTCACTTTCCAGGTATGTTACTGAGTTACAATACAGGTGGTAGTGGCTCTTGAAAACCAGCTCTGCAGTGAATCCTTTTTTTCATGAAAGATAAGGAAATGTCACACAGGCTTTTACTTTTTGGTGTTTCTTATTTTACGTGGCTTTTTGGAATCCAAACAAAGCTTATGTACTTGAAAACTAAATATTAAAGCATAGACCCAGTGTTCCTTTGCTACCAGTGTGCTCTTCTGGTACTATGGATCTCGGTAGCTGTAGAGCTGTAGACAGCAGTGCTGAATAAAGGTGAGACAGTGTGCACGTGTTTGTGCGTTCCAGCATGCACGTGTCCGTGCTTGGGAGGAAAGCAGGGCAGAGCTACCTGGGACCATACGGAATTTTTACGTAGATGAAACATAATCTGTCAGCTGTCAAATATATAGATCCATCAAAAAATGCCAAGAGGTTACGTGGTCTTCAAGTGGTTGGGGGACTGGTTTTGCTCTTTTTGTGAAGAAAATTTGCTTTGTAAGCACAGATTTGTTGTTGTTGATGTTCTTGTTGTTGCCTAGGAGCATATAACACCATGCTTAGGCACTGTGTCCAGCAATGAGAAGGAAAATGTGCAGCCAGATGCATGCCACTGTTGCTTGCTTCCCTAGCTGCTCTGTGCTCTGAGCATCTTACACAAACATAAAGTCAGATAGTGTGAAAGAATGAGTCCCAGATGAGTCCCTGATGAAAAGGTGGTTAAGAAAAAGCAAGAATAATAACAAATATATCGATTTATTTAAATACACGTTACATTTCATACACTAATACAGCAGAAGGGCTAGAATTTTTATAGACAGAATTTAGAGGACATTGATATATGAAATATAACTTACTTGTATAATAAATTACCAAATTTCTTCCATTTTTCTAGTTTGCCAAGCAACTTGCATATAATACTGATTAGCTTTAGAATTAAAGGATAACAACTCAAAGTTAGTTAGCAAATTTCCCTCCACCCTGCAAAAGAAGGATGGTAACCATATATAGGGTGCCTAAAGGATTAAAAAAAAAAAAAAGATGATTAGTATTTTGGGTATTTTACTAGTCTAAAAGGACATCAGTTACATCTTGCAGTAATGCTTAACCAATGCTCAATTGAAACTGCTGAATATTTTCTTTGGTATGTGTATTAAAGAGACAGTTTTGTCTAGTTTTTCATTGTGACATTCTCTCTCTTTTAGGTGATTTTGTACGCCTTTGTTCCTGATTTCTGCCATAAGTTTCTTCCTGGATACGTAGGAGGTGTGCAGGAAGGTGCTGTTACTCCTGCTGGTAAGGTGTTCTTTAGAATATGCCCACTCTACACACTTTTTAAATGATAATATTTCTTTACTTAAAATGTTTAAGTAATCCGTATATATCTAAAGGAAATATGGACATAAAAACAATTACCTTTCTGTTTACTTAACCAAAAAACAAAAACTAAGTGTAACAAAGAGTAACACGAGACCCTAGGCAGTTCTTGCAGAGACTCCAAATCTACAATTTGCAAAAACAGCAGAAAAAAAAGCACAGTCTAGCATAGCTGATGGTTACACCGGACTATAGTGAAACTTTTGTGAAGGTACCATGTGAGAAATATATTTGGGAGGGTGAAATTCAAGGGAGATGGGGAGAACTTGAGTATTTGATTGAGCTTTCTGGAGAAAGAACTGTACTAGAGCAATATCATGGTAACATTCATTTTATTTTTCTTTACTTTTCAGGTATAGTAAATAAATATGAAATCAATGGACTTCAGGCTTGGATCATCACCCATGTGCTTTGGTTTGCAAATGCCTATTACTTCCACTGGTTCTCACCTACCATCATTTTTGACAATTGGATTCCTCTTCTGTGGTGTGCCAACATCCTGGGATATGTAGTTTCCACGTTTGCAATGATTAAAGGCTACTTTTTTCCTACTAATGCCAAAGACTGGTATGTGGTTTCTAATAATGAAAGAATAGTAGGAAATCTGACATAACATTGAACACTACACAGAATGGTAATGAAAGGATTTGTGTTATTGGCACAGAGAAGTAGGTCAAGATAAGCAGGATGGCAGTTTTTTGTTTAATTTCCCCCATCCTCAATGCTTCATGCTTCATGTCGTGTGGTGTCATGGATACATCCATTCCTATCTGAGACTGAGAATAAGGTTATAGTAAAGTAACATTGAGTGTAACATTATAGTAAAGTGAGTGTAAAATATAATGCTTTGAAGCTAAAATTTATCTTTACTAATGTAATACTTCAGATCAATTGGTTTAATGCAAACATGGCCTCATTTTATGATTTTTATAACCATTAAGCGCCCTGGGAAATCAAGTGAAGTGTATAGACAGAATAGCAATTCCCTGAACTTGTGCATGTCTGCATTAATTTGTAATCTCTTTTTCTTTCCAGCAAATTCACTGGTAACTTTTTTTATGACTACATGATGGGGATTGAATTTAATCCTCGAATAGGAAAGTGGTTTGATTTCAAGCTCTTCTTCAATGGGCGCCCTGGTATTGTAGCGTGGACTCTGATTAACCTTTCCTATGCTGCTAAACAACAGGAGCTGTATGGGCAAGTAACCAACTCCATGATCCTTGTCAATGTCCTTCAGGTAAATTTGATGGAGGAAAACAAGCATTCTAGAAACAGATGTAGCCTGAACTAGAGTCCAGAGAGAACAGTGGGAAAATTTTGTGACTGTAGTTGAAGCAACGCTAGGAATTTTTTGTTTTCCTAAAGATAGCACCACATCTGGCTCTACTTTTTTTTTTTTTTTTAATGCAAGCTGGACACAACTATTGATCTCTCCACACCTAAAAAGTGCTAATTGGGATCTGTACATTTCCGTGAAGGAGACCCTAAAGCAATAAATAGATGATAGTTTGGATTTACTCATTCCTATGTGCAAATGGGAGTCCTCTTGATAGAAGCTCTTGGTGAAGTGTGTGGCAATCTGAGTGGAAAAAGGTCTGGGAGGGTCAAATGCAGGTGCCTTTCCTGAGTGGTGTGTCCTTAGACCAGCACGCGGAGCATATTTGCATTTGTTATCTTGGTTAATATTGCTTTGTGTTAGTTGTTATTGTTTTAGCTATACAGATGTCATATATGTGTTCCTTTTGTATGTGATTATGTTCCTCTTAATACTGTATTTTTGAGGTGGTAAAATAAAAACAAAGGTCAGTTTTGAGAGCTTGCCACAGAGCAGCACAGAAAGATTAGGCTGATGGTATCAAACAAGATAACTGGTGACGTTGCTTTGTTATTAAGCAATATCTTTTTTTTTTAGGGTATTTATGTTTTGGACTTCTTCTGGAATGAAGCCTGGTATTTGAAAACCATTGATATCTGCCACGATCACTTTGGATGGTACTTGGGCTGGGGAGACTGTGTTTGGTTACCATACCTCTATACCCTGCAGGTAAAAATACTGTACAAATAAGCTTTTGGGCTAACTTTTCGGATTTTTTTCAGAAACATTCTCCGCATCTTCTCCTCACCCTCTTTTCTCCCTCTTTCACTGTATTTTTCTAAATCCTTTTGGTGTCATTTATATCTCTATGATTCTTTTCTGCTGCTTTTGGTACAAACCCTCGCAACTTGTCTCTCATTATTGTTTCCCTGTTAAAAAATATTATTTTGGGAATGGAGAGGGAATGTAGGATGCAGGATTTCTTGAAAATCCTCCATGAATTTACTAAGACAGGGGACCTTCTTACTCTTTCTACTTGTCTCTTTTGGGTCACTGTAGGTCAAGGAATTAGTTTGACATCCTGAGAATGTACTCGGGGTTGAAAAACATTCCATTGGAAATGAATCACTGATTGCTCTTTCCTGCTCCCCAGGGTTTGTATTTGGTTTACCACCCTGTCCAGCTTGGCACAGCTAATGCCGTGGGCATCTTGATCCTGGGGCTGGTTGGCTATTACATCTTCAGGGTGACCAACCACCAGAAAGATCTCTTTCGACGCACGAACGGCAACTGCAAGATATGGAGAAAGAAGCCGGAATATATTGAGTGCTCCTACATGTCCGTGGATGGGACAAAGTACTACAGCAAGCTGATGACTTCAGGCTTCTGGGGATGGGCCCGGCATTTCAACTACACGGGAGACCTGATGGGCTCGCTGGCCTATTGCCTGGCCTGCGGCTTTGGGCACGTCTTGCCTTATTTCTACATCATGTACATGGCCATCCTGCTAACGCACCGCTGCCTCCGGGACGAACACCGTTGTTTCTGCAAATACGGGAAGGATTGGGAGCGCTACGCTGCCAAAGTGCCTTACCGGCTGCTACCTGGAATATTTTAAGACTGAAACAGAATCCAGGGGAAACAAAAAATAAGGTGTTTTTTTTTTTTTTGATACACAATGAGCTCGTGAGCAGTGTTAAATGAACAAACTAGTTTCTATAGGGAAGTCCTAATGCTCTGGAAGAAAAAAGGTGGCTGTGACAGCAATTCTTCATGTACTTAATGAATGTGCCTCTAGTAAACAGTCACACTGTATGTAAAGTAAATGAAAGGAGGCACTGGAATAGATCTTTTAATAAGACTGTTATACCTGGTACCTTTTTCCCTTTAGAAAATAATTTGGAAAAAAAAATTTGGAATTGAAGAAGATTTGCATGTATTAATATTCCTGAAATCTCTCCTATGCTGGAAGGAGACTTTACCATTTGAGCAGTTTCCAGTGAGATGGTAGTGGAGGAAATCAGGTGCTTGGACCATTCATGAAAGCAGCTGTGCAACACGGCTATACGTGGGCTATGCCTGTGACAGCAGTGATCTGCAGCCAATAACTCTCAGAAGAAGGTTGTGTTGTTTCTTGCTTTTCCAAGAGGGTAACTGGGGAAATACTGAACGCGATCCTAAACTGGTGCTGCAGGAAGACTGCTAGAAATACTTCCAAAAGCTGATGTAAATCAGTATAGTTGAATAGCTATATTTGTTAACAGCATGTGAGAGTTTGGCCTATGACCAAGTGGGTGTTACTTGATACTGTAACCAACTTGCTTTGCAAGGGTTTTGAATTCTGATGTGGATAGAAAACTTCATAATTTTCGACTAAAATCATGTTTGTAAAACTTCAAGAAATAAATGTCTGGTTTCGCAACAACAAAATACCGTTCTTTTTTTCTTTTCATATATATCTTTTTCTATCACATAGTTGTCTTTTAAAGTTCCTCTTTTACAGTTCTTCTAAACCAACTGTAGTGTCAATATCCTCTGTAGACCTCATGACTATTTTTATTACATTTTTTGCAAATAACTATGTCGATACAAGACACTGTTCCTGACAGTACTTTCATGAAAGTGGGACTCTTTTAACACTTTTGGTTCCTTACAATTCCCAACACCATTTTTTCACCCGTCGGAAGGGAAAAGGAGAACGTCTCTTACGTAGCGCCCTGTACAACAGGCAGCAACCTCGCGGTGCGCTTTACTGAAAATGTGTAGTCTCATATCTGTAGCATTTCACCAAAGGCTGTAAAATGCCATAAAATGGTTGATGTGAGAGAACTCACTTGGGAGCAGATGAAAAGACTGGTGAGTTTTGAGGACTGTTGGTCCCCACCAGGAATGCATGACTTTGGGCTGACCCTGACTTTGCTGGAGGAATTGGGCAGTGTCTTCCTGCAGCTTCCCAAAGGCCACACGTTTGCATCTTCTGCAGCCTTGGAACTAGCACTGACGTCTTGCTGTTAATGCCAAGGCTATCTAAACGCCACAAGCTGATGCGGACTCGATACCGTGGTAGCCTTGCTTGCCACAGTGTGTTATGCTCTTTTCACTGATAAATTCTGGATGATCAGCGGAGGGTGTCTTCCCACATTACTAATCTTGACACTTAAAGGGCATTGCAGTAAAATAGCATTTCTGGAGTTGGTGTTCACAGAGTGTCTTTACTTTTCAGCATAAGCAGGGCTGTGCACATATAACCCCGACAGAAAGCTGCTGCTGGGTTTGCTCCGATCCAGCCCGCAGGAGCGCTGACATGATTTAACAGCAACCAGGTGCGTAATGCTCGTAGAGGCTCGTAGAGATGCAGGTTGCTTTTATAAAACATGCACCTGTGAACAACGCGGGATGCTTGGATCAGCTTCGGCTTTATTCGGAGAACAGAAGCGAGCAGCAGCGCACACTTCTACCTCAGGGGAGCAGCCACAAAGGATTTTCTGCTCCCCGCTCTCAATGCAAGTTCCCATCCCGTGCCCTGCCCTTGGCCCGGAGCTGCACTGCATGATTTTATGGGGGGAAATACGTTTAACCGTTTGATATCTACAGTGGGTGGTGCTATGAGACTGATTACTCAGGAAAACAAATATCACTGCCAGCATCTCAGTTATGCTGGGAATGAATAAATGAATATATCGAGCAGAGGCTGTCCTAAACTCTCTCAATATATACGTATATATTTTAATGCAGCAAGAAGTAACCATCTTGGTGTCGGGAAATTGTGCCTTACTGCAACGCTTGGCTTTCCAGGTGGCATTTTGTAGTTGCCATTGAAGATCATGTAGAATGATCTACTATTAAAGAATAGGTACATTAACTCAAATTAGCTACCTCAAACTACCTTAAAAAAAAAATCACCGCGTGCCAGGAGGGATTTCCAGCACGTGAAGCGGGCAGAGCAGCCACCATTCCTTTATTTACTCATTCACTCCTTTATTTCCCCTTAAGAGGAGGTGCCGGGGCCGCTCGCGGCGCCGCCCCGGCGGGCGCGGCC